ACGCGAATGAACATAAATATGTTTTAAAAAAATTTGTTTCGAATCATTAATGATTGCCATTTTAGGTAATGAATTCATAGGATATTTGATAAGAACCTAATGACGATGACACCAAAATTCTAAAATATTTAGAAACAAAGGAACAATTCAGCAGCTGCATAGTTATTATCTTCTTCTTCTGCTAGCGCTGTTAATGTTGTTCAAGGCTAATATCATAATTACCGAAAAAGGAATTACTGGGATACTGAGAACAGAAAATGTTATTGTTGGGAGCAGGATAGCTATATGCATCTCTAAAAACTTGGAACTTTTTTTTAAATTCATAAGACACTTTTTTTTCAAAAACATGACTCTTTTAGGAGCTGATGCGGTTGCATCATTTTTAGAAAATGGAGACGAAGCATCGTTAGTGTGTCGCGGTCTGAATTAGCCTAAGGTAGACACAGGAAGCGAAGACAGCGAACACGAATCGGTGATGTTTTTTTCGGGGAAAAATGCCGCTAATCCTGCTTTGTTTGGTGGTGACAGGCATTGACATCACGGGTAATAAAATGCATATGCAAATTGAACAGGTATGATGATCAGTCCGCAAAACAGCCATATCAGAAACAAACCACAGCAGTCTGGAGCATCATCCTTCGTCATCATTTCGTTCACTTTGTACAGGTATTTAGCCAAGCGTTTTTTTAAATAACCGCACATACTTAATGGTTTAAACTTAATAAAACTTAATAAACTTAGAAACAGCTGCACAGTGTATTCTTGTCGAGAATGTCCGGACGACTAGATGCAGTCATATATCAAGCGCCATCCGTCTTCGATTGTCTTCAGTCGTCCGTTGATGTCTGCACTCCAAAATTATTCAATTCTTCCAATAGTTTGCTAACCAATCTCATTCACTTGCAGTAAATTTGTAATCCCAAAGTACCTGACGCATCTGAAAATTACCGGTTTCCCAGAAAATTGCAGGCTTTTTTTAAGTTTATGGGAAAACTTTTTTCACTGTCCGCTCGGCCTACCTTCAATTTGTTTTTGGGCCTGTGCGGCCAGTCAAAAAGAGTTTAATTTGTTTTTATCCCCTTGTCCCTTTCTTTCTGCATTCTAATTAATTGCTGACTGATCCAGAATTGCAAACCGCCATATGCGAGAAACACCAATGGTGTGTTCTTGACAGTGGTTGTTAAGCAAACCTATTTTCCCTTTTTTTAAATGAATAGAGCCCAGGATTTTACGAGTAATTTTCTCACAAAAAATAAATTTATATAGCAGCATAAAATTAGTGAGTTTAATAAGCAGAACATTGATTGATTATAAACGCACAATGCTGCCATGATGACTTAAATTAGGTTTTACTTCCATTTTCCGTGATTAGCCTACGGCTATTGGTCCTTTGCTTGCAAGTATTATAGCTTCAGAGTAATTATTCTAAAAGCTCAATATTTTTAGAGCGCCTTTTTTGGAACAGAAAGTCCAGTCCTGAAATCACGTGATTTAGCCTGCTCTTTGACCCGCATCTGTTTATTTATTTAAAGTTTCATGTTATAACACTAAATGCTCGGCTTCCCAGACATCACCTTCGTTCGTCATCATCGGCATCAAGAAGAAAAAAAAACTGCACGAATGTTAAAAAATTCATCTCTCCGTATTGCTTCTGCACAAATGCCTTTATGCAGATTTAACCTACAGAAAACTTCGAATTATCTCAGTCGGAACTCTCCTTCGCTTTTGCGACAGACTTGTCTGTTTGAGAAATATGTCATTTTTATGCGTTTTTTGCATCTATGCAATGCAGAAAAAGCATGTTGACGAAGGATTGTCTGTGTATATTTGCATATGTCTGGTGTTCGTCTGCAACGATTTTTCATCTCGAGACTTACAAAAGTTGCAGGTCTGAAACTTTGGGAACTTAATCCACATGCACGTACGGGATCCCACCCAAAATGGGCGCTCTTTCCCGTATGGTACCCACATACGGGTCCGCCAATGTTTTCGACGAGCAAGTTGCTAACTCGGGAACGAGAAAAGCTACAAAGCTGAAATTTTAAGGAGGTGTTCCCCTCCCAAGCAGGTCTTAAAAAGAGTTCATATCCAGTCCCCGGGTATGTATGGCTCCAACGTACGGACCTGGGGAATTTTTTTTTTCCGGTAAGTTGCCAATTCAGGAAACAGCAAAGCAAGAAAACTGAAATTTTTAGGGGATGTTATCTAACAGTCCTGACGGCCAGTTTCAATTCGTTTAGCTAGAGGGGTGTGCACGAAAAATCTGTGCTGTCAGCAACAAAAACTTGTGTGGTACTGTGAGCAAGTCACTGGCGATGCGAACCGGGTGGGCCTGTGCGATCATGCGTTTTTGCAATATTTCGTGCTCTAATGAGATGGCTCCGAATAGAAATGAATGAAACACTGGTCCTCGAAGTCCAGGAAACTAATAAACGCAGTATTTGGACTGAAACCGCCAACATATTTCTTTGGGAGTCCCGTACGCAGAGTCTAGGCACGTATGGGGAAAGATCTTAAAACGGGGGGATGAAACACGGAGAAGAAACTTTTATCCAAACTTTTAGCCTCCCAGCTTTCCTGGTTGCTGAGATGAAAGTGGGTGACAAAATGCACTTACTTTCCGAACACACACAGAGACAGCCTCTCGACAATACGCCTTTTTGCTGGCTGTAGCAGTGCTATAGCGCTGCACAGCAGAAACGCATAAAAAGATATACTGTGACGGCCCATGGGAATAGGCTAGGGAATAGGCTTGGAAATTATCGCATCAAAGAGGTGGTGCAAGGCGCCAATATTTTCTATGACAAGAGTGTAGATAGTCGGTACTGACTTGTATAAAAATGGATGCTACGTCTATCTTGAAAGAAAAGCCGATGGCTATATTTACAAAGGCATTCGATATTGTAAATTTTACAGCACTATCAATCTCTTCAAAGTATCGAACTGAAAGAAGGTGCCAACTTTTCAATGTTAGAGTGCCGAAAGCACTGACAAAAGCTGAATAAAGAAAGCTGGTTGTAACTGAGCAAAAAAATGCTTGCAGCGTGTTTAAGTGACAATATCATACAGGCAAGCAAACCCCGTCATAGATAAACAGCTTAAAAGGTATATAGTGTGCAAGAAAGAGAGTGAAATCTGCGAAGTAGAACATATCTGCTCTTTTTGCTGGCAACTCACAATAGTAGTACATTAGTGAACAATAATTGCAATAAAATAAACGAATAAGGGCACCAACAGATATCAAATAGGAGTTGGTACTAACAGCCAATATACTTAGGAAAAATGCGCTTGGCATAGCTATGTCCAGCCAAATTACTAATGTGGAATCCCAGTGCAGTCTTTCCGGACTGTCTTGATGTTCCTTTTTCAACACTATAATTCTTAATATCATTTTCCAGTAATGCACAAAATAATCGAATCTGATGTCCACTTCTGGCATGTGTTGCATTTCAGGGAAACTGAACAGTGACGAAAAAGTACCTTCCGGCTCACTCAGATTCGCAGCTATTCGGTTCTCCGATTTTTCTAATTTGGTTAGCCTGGTAAAAGCTGTCGGCGCGTTTCAAGCTATTTTAAAGAAGGAAGGTAGTGTTTGGCGCAAAAATATCAACGAATAGCGAATTGCTTAAAACGAAAATGGGTCGACGAGTATACGTAGTGTCAGGAGAACGTGAAGCATATCTACAACAACTGCACGAAAATCCGCGAATTTCCTTTCGCGACAGGACTCGCTATGTTATTTTAACAATTTCAATAATATGCCTGGCGTGGTTAATGGGCAATTCATTGATATTGAATTTCACAATTATTTGTATGCGAGAAGAAGTTTCAACCGGAAATGATTCTGCAGCTAATGCAAGTAAGCATCCTCTAGTACAGGCGTTTTGAACGGTAAAATGCGAAACACTTGGTGCACTAGGAACAAAGCATTATCCCGTTAAGCTGCAGTGATGAACCACGAAAACCGCAACATTCCTTATCAAAACAGTAGTCCGTAAGTGAAGCAGCGCTCTGGATCAATGGCTGCCTCGTTAAGTTCAGTGCACCGCAGGCTGACCAGAAATTAAATTTACTCATTTAGTAAATACGCGTGTTTGTGTAATTGAAAAAGAGTAAAAATATGTGGCATGTTTTTAACGAAGTGCAGCTTTCAGCAACTCGTTCGGAGCAGCAAGGCGGCGGTGCTAGGTACCCATATTCGAATAAACAAATTGGGTTATTATTTTCGGCCATTGCAATTGGCTCTTTAATTGGTACCTATCCTGTGGTATTGCTAGAAACAAGACTTAGCCGCAGGTAAGATGGTTTAAAATCAAAAAAAAGAATTTAAAAGTTTTTTATTTGGATTGAAATGAACGGCGCATTCTAGCACTGATCGAAATTGCCACAAAAAACACTTTTTTAAAATTTTTCATAAAAAAATGATTTTTAAAGGAGAAAATACTTTTTATTTAAGCACTTACATCTCGATCCGGCTAAGAAGAAATTCCCCACACAGAATTCCCACGCAGAAAACAAAACCCCAATACAGAATTCCAAAATTCCCCGTACGGGCCTCAAAAAATACCAATCATTCATTCTTGGAAGACCCTAAACTCCATGTACTATTTGTTCTCTTGGCAATTAGGTTCTTGGCGCGACTTTTTTGATATTTCAAAGTGCAGATGCATGCAAGTGTAGTGGTATAAAACTACATCTAAGCTGCATCATCGCCAGTACGTAGTTCTGCTCATTCTTCCTTACCTTCTTCTGTTCACTGCTTCCTCCCATTTTGTGCTCTGTGGCTTGTATGAATGAAACTATTATGTTTTTTTTTTTATTTTATCATAAATTGCTAGTTTGTGGGTCCTTTTAACTCTAACTTTGCAGTCACTATCTGTTCTTACCCAGCCCAATTTTGTTAGGAGAGTTTTTGGGTTTTTTTTTTTTTGATAATTATCCAATTCCGGCGGGCATGGCGCAATAGGGTAGCACTGTAGGTTGAAAGTTCGGCTCTGCCGGTGAGACAGCTAATTCCTTTATGATTCGTTTCGATGGTAATTTAGTACTGGCATATGCCAGGAAGTCGAACCCGTCATCAGCCTGCTTATAAACAAAGGCCAGAAGAAATCCATCGACAGCCATGCCAGCGAGTGGTTATTATTGACAAATGTCATCACTTGGGCTACTTCCTGACTGCTTCCATCTCTCACTTGATGTTACGGGAAGAGGGGCGGGCGGGCGGGGAGAGGGGTGGGGAGGGGGTTGCTTCTTCTTTTAATTTGACTATCTAGTATCTTTTCTGACTTTTTTGCAGGAATTTATTAACATTATTTGGCCTTATATCAGCGGTTTCGACCTTGTTGATACCAACAGCTGCATCGATTGGTTTTTGGTTATTGTTCGCCATGAGATTCCTAGAGGTACTCTCCGCAACCTAAATTTGAGTTAAATCGACTTGCAATAAAAAACCCTTTCTGTAAGAAGGAACCACCTTTTTGAGGAACATGTGAGACGGCAGAGGGACTACACCTTAAAATTATTTCTATTGTGGCTTGCTTCTGAGAATTCTTGAAAGATACAGAGATTAGAAAGTTTGGATATTATAGCGCTCGAGCAGTAAAAACGGCATTCCAGTTTTCCGCGGGCTAAAGGTCAAGACTCAATTTTCAACAAATATGCAAATGAATTGTGTGAAATATTGCAAAAAAAGGTTCTGGCAAAGGCCATCTTTTTGTGCTTCCTTACAATATTGGGTTGCAAAAATGCATACTGTCAAGAAAGTTTCTACGTTTTTGCATTTGTTGAATTGCAGCAATTACCGTGCGTAGCAGGATTACCTGCACAGTCGTGTTCTTTTTTTTTTTTGTACGTTGTCGTGAAGCAGTAAGACCGTTGACTATATAAGCGGTCATTGTTTTACGTTTGATGCCTGCGCTCGCACAGGAAATATTTTTGTTGGTCACTTGAACATTTATGAAGAGTGTTGTCGACTGAAATGGTGATGCTGAGCTGTGAATCTCTTGAAATTTAGTCTTCTAGCAGGTGAGATTACCGCGAAAAAAAAAATGCTGATGATTTTACAAACAAAACTTTTACGTGCCACACAAAGAACGTTGGCACCATGATTGCTCATTTTTTCGTTTGCGGCCCCGCAAAGAAGCAGCAAACATCCTCGTAATCGTCCACTTCTCGGTTTGGAAAAAAGACACCAATACTGCAAACGGAAGTATGCAGTTCCTGACCCGATCCTTCACTTTTATAACTTACAGAGTCAGGCATCATCTCCGCAAAATCATAATTTCTTAGCTTTTCATGTTGCTAAGTTGGTAGTGTGTGATGAACATGCACACGCATTGACAGATTTTTGCTGAAATACGTTTCCGCATTTAACA